TGCTGTAATAAACGGCGTTATCAGTATCAGATTTCTGTCCGCGCGTCTTCCCGAGGGACTGATGGGCCGGCAGCGGGTTTAACGGCGATTAGACACACACTCACTCACTCTCTCGCATAGACAACACCAATTTAATTTGTTGGTTCTCGGATTTTTTCAGAAAAAATATGAAGCGACAGGGCGAAAAAAATAAAAATAAAAACAGGTCTAGGCATCCTATTATATAGCCCCAAATGCTAAATGGGTAATATTTGATCAAGGAATTTTGAACTTTAAATTAAACCACTGCATTGAAAGATTAAAAAAACTGTAACAACTAGGAAGAAAAGGACTTTCCTCAACTGTTGGGGGCAAAATATGAGCATATTTGAGTTGATACAGAACCAGAATCTTTTTTTTTTTGCAAATCAGAAAAAAATGAAGAGGCGAATTCGAGAACCAACAAATTAAATTGGTGTGGCCTTAAGCCATGTTGATTTGATTACATGGATGACATCCACGCGCGCATGAATTTTCGGCTGTTTCAAAAAAAAAGTCTCGACCTAGTCTCGTGTTCTCGCGAGACTAGGTCACTCCGTTAACAAGATGTACAGTGGACATCGAACATTTGGAGGTACGTAATCTACCTTAAAAAAATACAGTCACTGATCGAAGAATTTCTACTAACTGCAAAAAAAAAGTTTTCAACCACACTGTAGATCGTACAAAACTGTTGCAAAATGAGCAAATATATACCGTAAGGCCACACCGACTTAATTTTATGGATGACATCCCCTAAAGACCCCCAAACTAGTGCGCGCGGGCGAATAAAAAAAATCCCGCCAGAAATAAAATGCGACTAAACCACAGGAATACAAAGTTGGTATTGTGAATTTGCAGCAGCATACGACGTATACGACAAGCCGGCACATGCTGGCTTTTTGCGGAATTTATGAATCGGTACTGTAGGTATATACTAGTACTGAATTCCTGAGTCGTGGAGCTTCGGTAGCCAGGGTGCCCGGCTCCGTATTGTCGTATGTACTAGCTAAGATCTTGAGTTGTGGAGCTTCAGCAGCCTGGGTGCCGTCCACCAGAGTTACCGTCGGATCCGTATTGTCGCTAACTACCCCGGCCTAGAACCAGGCCAGAGCCCTGGAGGACGTGACTCTTTTTGGAGAAAAGGCGAAAACCAATGCGCGCGGCTAGGCTGACATCCATAAAATCAAGACGGTGTGGCCTAACTGTGATTCCCCGCTCCGTGAATGTGGCCGAAATGGGCCGTTTCTCCGCCGCGGATCGAGACGAACGGCCGCCATTGTGGGGAGAGATGGCCGTTAACGGCAATTACTGACGCGGCTCTAACGGGGAGAGATGGCCGTTAACGGCAATTACTGACGCGGCTCTAACGGTGAGAGATGGCCGTTAACAGTAGTTACTGACGCGGCTCTAACGGCGGCTGGGGAGGGTTAGGGCCCCGTAACTGTGGCTTTCCGCTCCGCTTCGTGTCTTTGCTGGGAGGAACCCCTGCGTGAACGGACGGCACCTGGGTCCTGAGAAGTTGTATCCATGCAAAACCGTGTCTATCTAGTTCCTATGTCTGAACGGGTTAGAAAGTTCGCGCTGTGAGGCGGTCGAAAATCTGATTTTTGAAAAGAATAACGCGGTTTCTCATGTTGACGGAGTTCTTACATCGCTCGTAACGTCCGTTCGTCAAACACCTACAAATTCGTAAACTGCCACGTCTAGCCCACAAAGATGATCAAGAAAACTGGCAACTTTGACCAGAAGCTTTTGAAAGCTGTTTCACGATGTTTCTTGCCATCATGAGCCTGTAATAACACACAACTTTGATGATAGACCTGTCGACGAATCCAGAACTGTGCTTTATCCAGAACAATGCTCAGACACGGCTCAGATTAGTCCATGCGTGTTCAAAACTGTGTCTGGGACAAATCTACGTTCTTGGATACGCGGAGACTATCCAGAACCGTACCTTATCCTAACCCTAACCCATTCAGGCATAAAACTACTGTAGATAGGCACTGTCCTGGATCCGATAAGAGTCATGCCTCCAACACACCACTCTGACAGCCTCCAACCTCCGTAATTGGGTGAAAGTGTCTATCTGACCTTCCTGCCGACCTCAAACGTTAGGAAGAGTACTTAAGACCTGTGTACAGGCAACTTATCTCACTTTACCGCGCTGCCATGCACTACAGCAGTCTCAGCGTAGGAGCTCTCTCTATCTGGTTTTCTGAAAAATAGTAGCCCCCCACTGTTCTTTTTGTGTATGTGGGGGGGGGGGTAACATTAGACAAAGGACAAAGACAATTTGACATTACACTGAAGTTACAATTTATTTTATAACGCTACATACACGACTACAATATCACACACTTATGCGTTATGGCAGTCTATTTAGGGCAATAGCCAATATTTCAAAGAAACCTTTGATAATTTCTTTATGATTTATTCCACGATTACAACCCCATCGTTTCAGCACCAATTTAACACCAGGAAACACGATAACTAGAGTACGATAATGGCGGATAATTGGTCATTTTAAAAGCACCCTGCAGATAATGTTTCTGGTAAGTTATGACTGGCCTTTCGCCCTACAGTTTCACGTTTTTTTACTTTTATTGAACGAACTGGAACAGTCGTATACCCAAGACAGTAAACGTAATATAGTAACAAGTTTAACCGGTGCAATGGCTCAATTGGTAGAGTGCTCGCTTTGTAACCAGGAGGTCCTGAGTTCAAACCCCGGCCGGGTCATACAAAAGACAACGCATATGAGAGAGAGTGTGGGAAGGTCAAACACACAGCACTACCAGCGGACCAGCCCCCTGCTGTAGTGCCCTGCACAACTGTGTGTCGCCCAAGGGCTACGGAAATAGAGATGGGCACCACCCCTATGGCTATGCTATGCATAGAGTGGAACGGGACCTTTTTAACTAGTTTACAATTATCCCCTTCTTATTCCATATTTGTCAACACAGCAACAAGCAAAACAATCGGCCCTTCACCCTCTGGTTTTACGTCTTGCACATTTGAAAGCAGTTTAACGTCGTACTCAGGACAATAAAAGGATAATCATTAGTTTACAGCTGACCCAATATTTGTCGAAGACCACCAGCAACAGGCAATACAATCGGCCTATCACCCTCGTTTTTTTCCACTTTATTAGCCTCATATTTGTCAAATAACACCACCTACAAATAAAACTATTGCTCCGGTGAAACCAAATAGCAGCGAACACCCTTTCCGTACGCCCCATTTACGATCAATGTTGTGTCATTAATCTCTTGTCGGGCGATTTTTCTGCTGTAGTTTAAGCTGTAGTTTTTCATAACGACATCGTTTTCAACTGTACAGCTATTTAATATGTACTTTGTGTAATGTTTGCAATGTATGGAGCACAGCATCAGCTGAATTTGCTGCCAAGTGCTCCACGTGTATTGCCGTCGTAAGTTAAAGAAAGAAAGAAAGAAAGAAAGAAAGAAAGAAAGAAAGAAAGAAACTGTTGTCCCCGTGAAATTCATGGCAGCGAACACCCTTTCCGTACGCCCCATTTGCGATCAATGTTTGGTTATGAATCGGTTGCCGGCCGGTGTTTCCGCTGGAACAATGCCAGGCCTGGGCCCTACAAAGAGCGGCAGCCGCGGGTGAGAAGTGGCGCAGGTGCCGTATTGCTGCAGAGCGATCGATTGAGACATAATGACTCTAGCATGATGTACAAAATGACTAATAAACTGGTGGACGTACCAACCACTAAGTATCTGATACCAGTCCAGAAAAGAAAAAGAAACAGTCATGCCTTCAAGAGGGGAGAGGGGTATTGGAAATAAATTAGCCTGGTTACCAAACCTGTCCCGAGTCCTACATCAGTTGCGGAGAGGATGTAGGAGTCGGGAGCTATAACAGGTTTGGTAACCAGGCTAGAAATAAAGATAATGTAGACATTTTTCAGCTCGTCTTATAAGAAATTATGAGATATGCATGTAGAAGTATGGATCAAACCTTACAAACCCAATTCTCACACAGACTTTACAAGCACTGTACAAAACGTTACTGATTATGCAAAACAAACAAATATCTTCTTACCTACATGTAGAGTTGATGAGAGGTGTGTGGTTCAGTACATTTATGTCATCATTACCTACACACTTTCTCATCTCTGTTCATTAATAAATAAAACAATAGAATCGCGAGGTAGGAGCATCTCAGAAGTGGTACTAAAGAAAAACGGCAAATATTTTATCTGCAGAATATTTTATTCAGGAAAAGAGTAAAATAGAGACAATTTCTGAGGTACAATCATTGTAATTTGTTACAAAAGTAGGCTGAACATTGTTCAAGATATTTTACTTTAACAGTTTTACACAGTTGTACAAAATGTAAAAGTATTGCAATAGTTTGCTCCATTTTGCATTGGAAGGAAAGACCCTTTAAATCTGCATATGTTGGACTGCGATTTTTGAAATTACATTGACTTCCGTCTGCAAGTAGCATTTGGTACATTCCAAGTATTACAATCATGTAGTGTAACAATGGATTTAAGAAGAAGGCACATGTCACATTTCGTATTTAGCAATCAAAGTATTAAAAAATCTACCACCATAGAGTACAAATCACCAGCAAAAAATTATACAAAATCTACAAAACTATCATCATTCCACAACCAAAATGGTAGAAAATATAATTTTTTGTGGCATGAAGCATAATATCAATGGCAGTGAGCATAAGCCTCAAAGTGAGGCCACACCAATTTGATTTGTTGGTTCTCGGTCGCCTCTATATTTTTCTGATTTGCAAAAAAAAAGATTCTGGTTCTGAATCAACTCAAATTTGCTCATATTTTGCCCCCAACAGTTGAGAAAAGTCCTTTTTTTTCCTAGTTGTTACAGTTTTTCCATCTATCAATGCAGCGGTTTCATCAAAAGTTAAAAATTCATTGTTTAAATATAACCCAGCCTCCTATCGTAGCATTTGGGGCGCTATAATAGGATGCCTAGAACTGTTTTCATTTTCATTTTTTTCACCGTCACTTCATATTTTTTCTGAAAAAATCCGAGAACCAACAAATTAAATTGGTATGGCCTAAACAATGATGTAAATTATGTGGCATTTAAGCAATAACCTTTTTCTGATGCATAGGCAATTTGTGTTGCCCTATAGGAGACTAGGGCACAATTACACATTCCACAGTCATGGCTCATTAAAACATTTCATAATGTCAAAAATATTTACAAAATGTATCTGCATATATAAACCTACACATTTCAAACTTGGATAGACTATCAAAAGTACGACAACAGTACAAATGTAGGTAGCATGAGAAGACATTGCAGTGATTTTAACATTGTTTAAACCTGAATAATTGAAAATAATGTACATGTACTACGTGGGTTGCATGTACAATGTACACTGTTCTGCATATTGTCATGGATATGGATAGAATTCCTGATTATTACATTGCATTTAAAAGTTTTTTGCTATCTAGAATATCTGCAACCTTGTAAAATGCACAATTATATAATATGTCAAGTCAACATCATCAAACCTGATTAAAAAAAGCCAAAGACACTGAGTATATACTGTCACAATGTCATTCATAAAAAATATGCATCTTGACTTATGTAAAACTTGATTAAAAAATTGTATCTGGTAATCTCATTTACATTTTGCAGGAATGACATATTCGTAGGTACATATTGTACCTTTCTTCAATTCCCCTACCCTCCACCTTGTACAAAAAAATAACTATATTCAAGAGAAGTAGCAGATTTGAATCAAGGGACCAATAAAATCTCAGGTCTAGGTGGACAGGTAGTCACTATCATGAAAGTTCATCTGTGTTGGTAGTTACATGTTTAAAGTTAATACTTTTGGTCCAACACAAAAAGTTCTCTCACCTAGAGCTTTTGACCAGTCACTCTGGTCTTCCTCAGTAGACTGACCAGAGACTGACCCAGGGAAGCTTGTCACGTGGCTTCTTTGAAGTGTGACGTTAACACTGGGTGGTCCTTATGTAGATGTGGTCACTTGTAGACGTTTGACTGTATACCAAAAAAGAGAATGAAAGACTCTCAATGCAAAAGCCTGGACAAAAGAGTCTGGACTTCAATCATGTCTTAGCCTCTGTAGCAGGCTTATAGAACTGGGGGTTTGGTGCTTTTCGGCTGTTTTCTGATTAGCCCAGTTCTAAAAGATGGGGGTAACTCAACCAGGCCGGCTATGCTGTCTATATGCAATCGGAAAATAGCACATAAAAGCTCCCAAAGACCATGAAGACCCCCAAAACCCCCAGTTTTTGGCATGCTATGGAGGCTATCCATGTCTGTGGTTTCCAAGATGCGGTAAATTCCCCCCAGGTCTAGAGTATAACACTTAACTGGACCCCATTGCACCAATTAAGTCGGATGCAGAAGATTACACCTTACTGCAGCACTAATGACTGCCCTCGTTACGTCCACTTTAATCACTCTGCGGGACACTCCTGTAATCCTGTTCAAGGACCAGGTAATTGGGTAGGGCCTAGGGAAAATATGTCGTGTTTCCTGTTTCAGTCCTGAAAAAATTAAGGTTGGTATATAGGTAGGGATCTTTTTTTTCTTCCTTTTTTTTATTAGACACTAGCAAATTTCTAGTGATCCAACTGATACAATACAGTTTAACTAAGTAAAACTTGCATGAGGCCACTAATATATACTTTTAATGTCAATGTTGGAAAACTGACTGTACAACGTTTCATCACTCAGGTGTCAGATCACGGAGCTAGAAAAAGTTGATCAGCTCAAAAATTTATATCCCTTGCAGTGATCCACAAAAAAAAAGGCTGGGGTCGGCAATTTTTTCTAGAGTCGGTTGGGAAACAGGAAACAACATTTTTTCCTTGGACTAAGCCTGTGGCACCGTGGGAGGCTCATTAAGGCTAGATCATTGTATTAATCTTTTGCCTGCTAAGTTAGCTGTTTGCTACTGAAGTTTGTATTCGTTATGGGATTAGGCAGCAGGGAGAAGGTTAACCTGTGTGTTAGGTGTGGGGGTGGCGTGACATGACAATGCTTTGCTTCTTTCTGAGAAATTGGTGAAACCACGATCAATATGCATGTCACACGTTTACACAATCATATTAACATTAACCATCAGCCTGCTAAGGCAGCCATTTGGCACCAAGTTTGTATTGGTTATGGCAACAGGGAGAAGGTTGATAACAACCACAGTTTCAGCACTAGGGACAGGGTCATTAACCCTCAGCCTGCTAAGGTAGCTGTTTGGCACAAAATTTGTATTGGTTATGGGGATAGGCAGCAGGGAGAAGGTTAACCTGTGTGTTACGTGTGGAGGTGGTGTGACATTAGAATGCGTCCTCTTTCTGAGAAGTAGTGAAGACTAATAAATTTATGCACATTATAATCTACAGAGAAAACTTGGTTTACATAAATCTAAATCTTCTTATGTAATGGGTCACATAGCAATGTTTCGGCTCTTTCTCAGAAATTGGTGAAAGCACATTATGCACGTGTACACAATCTACTGAGAAATGGGAGCTTCATTGAGGCTAGATCCATCATAATTTGGGTTCTTCAATGTACATGTTGGGGTGGCATAACGCCTTTCCAAGAAGCTTCAGTGAAACCACATTATGCACACATGTGCAATTTAGTTCATTGAGGCTAGATCCAAGTCTAAATCACTCATAATCAACCTGCATGTTCACATGATGGGTGCATGGAGACTGCCGTTGCATCAATTACTGCCTTTCTGAGAAGCTCTGGAGCTCTTTCTGTTTCATCACCTTCTTAGTGGCACGGTCAGTCACCAGGCCTTGATGTTCCTACTATACACATGGAAGATTCAGCAAGGAGGCATGAGACTTGGGTACAAATGTAGTTTAACAGGTCCATAAGCAACAGGTTGTATACAACACGTAAATAACAGGCGACACTTTAATTCCGGACTGACACTCTAATTCCGGACTACCTTTCACCATTAAGACATAGTTTGACAAGGAGACTTAATATTCTAGAATATGTTATATTACTCGCTGAAAGTTACGTAGGTATCATCGATAGGTCCCCTGGGACTAGGTCAGTTCTGCAGAATTCTGCATTTGGATGCAGAATTCTGCGCAGAATTCTGCATTTGGGTGCAGAATTCTGTGCAGAATTCTGCATTCAGGTGCAGAATTCTGCATTTGGGTTGCAGAATTCTGCACCTGAATGCAGAATTCTGCATCCCATATGCAGAATTCTCCATCCAAATGCAGAATTAGCACCGCAGCTGTGGCGGTCTGCGTCGCGCTGCGTCACATGTGGTGAACCCTGACTTGCCGTGGCCTTTGACAGGTGGGAACTGAAGTGATGTTTTTCATGGGACAAATGATGATTTTCTTCTTCTCTCGCGCGTACTTGCAGTGCCGGGCATGGCGCAGAAGACGGCTTGGGGTCTCTCATATCATAGGGATCGGAACCACGATATCCAACGGGCAGCTTTCCAGTGTAGCCACAATTACAGAAAATTCTGTCACAGTTACATAGCCCAATCAAACAGCGTGTTTCAGCGCTGCTTCAGTTAGAGCTGTTGACTTCCGCCATGCTCAGCAAACAATCAGTAAGGCTGAGCGCTAGCAAACAATCCGTACAAAATAATTTGAGGAAACAATTAACAACAAGTAGAAATTGATAAAAAAATTTGCATATGACCCATGACCTACTTTGACGTGGTTAATGGGCTGCGCGCGACGCAGGTCTGTTAACATGATGTTTTTCCACGCCGCAGATGCCTGCTGTGTGTCGCGATGCACTTGTGGCACCTCCTGAAGGTGCCACATAAAAAACGACGCAAGGTGCTGTGCGGCGGTGGGGGGGCCTGTTTACACACTTGAAAAATGTGTCGTACAGGTCGCGCACGCGTCAAATGACGCCCAACACACAAAAGTGACGCACGTGTGAACCGGGCCTTAGTTTCCAGTACAATTGCAACACGGATTCATCTCAAAGGCAACCACAGTCCTCTTAGGAGCAAAGCTCATCATCAGGTATCATAAATATTCTGTAGCAGTAAAGAAAAGGAATCGTAATATGTTTAGATACATTGTGCATCCAGAGTGTACCTAAAAGTTTACTTGAAACTACACTCTGGGCTGATGCTTGTGTATTGGATTCTGCCCTTGTGGGTGCTTAGATTGCTACTGGCTTGAGCATTGATTAGTTATGGTCCCACCCACAAACAAATCCTTAGGGCTGGCCCACACTCCTAGAAAATCTTCATTAGTCACACCAGGGCTCCTACCAAATCTGGCACACATGTACATGCATGGTATGTATGTGCCTGCTAAGTACCTTCATGACAGGTGTCCTGTCCCTGTGTAACACAAACCCTCATTGGAGCTTCTCCCAATAGCCTACCAAACCCAGCTGTGACAACCCCCAAGTTGACAGAATTAAAATTATAGGTCATACAGAAAGAGAAGACGTGTTTGATAACAGTTGACTCATTATTAGGTATTTAGGCAGACCCACCTGCAACTTGATACTAGTAGTCAATGTAGTTTGGATATAAAACATAACTGCAGAACAGTCATCATCAAACATGCAGATATCTCTGATTGTTTAGTACTGCTGTAGAAATATCCTGGGTGCCAGAACTCAGCCCTTAGAATTATAAAAATGATAATCTCTCTTTACTGATCTTGTCAACCATGTTTCTGCCCAACCATAGAGGTGTAGAACTCTGCTCTCAGCATGTGGCATCTCAAGGGAGATTGTGTTGCATTGGTGTCTGGCATCTCCATTGGTGGACAAGTCAAAGAGAGGCCACCAGAGGCCACTGGGCCTTGCTTTTGAAGGCATGATATGCTTCCACGCACCTTTGTAGGAATTTGAACATGTAGATTCTTCTATTAAAGTCTGATAAAATGATACAATGATAAAGTTGCATGAATTAAACTTGCCATATATAGATATAAAGTACTAGTAGTCTGCTTATAGTCTGTGTCCTCAAACTTCAGTTATTTTTTCCAGCATTCCTTCACCAACAGAGGCCCTCTAACAAAACAAAATGTTGCCCCTCAGAGGTTGACCCATAGGGGGAATTGGGGTCAGTTGAATGACCTAAGAAGGTTCCAGGCCTGAGCCTGACCCATGAAATGTATTCCTGAGAAGGCTCAGCTCAAATTATTTTGTTCTACTTCTAGACTGAAGGCAAATAACCAAAAGACCTGAGAAAGTACTCAGTCTGTCAATTATATATAAATTTCTAGATGTACCTTTACCTTTTACCTAGTCCCATCCTCATGTCTGAGGGATGGGGACTATACTTGTCTAGATGTACAGATGTATTATATCCCCAGTACCAGTATGTGTATCAAAAACACAAACAAACATGCATACAATTGCACAGAGATTTTTTGCTACAATGTACATAAGATGAAGGGATAAATACATTGTTTTTCCCATTTCAGATATTTTAGAACAACTTTGCTTCATCTATCTGGTATTCAATCCAATGAGCCATGGCCATGCTTCAGTTCAGTTTTCAATGATGTAACTTAACACAGAGCTGATAACCTTGCAAAACAGTGTTTCCTACATGCATGCACTCATACATGTAAATGTAAAAACAGAAAAGATTACAGGTTTGATCAGAATAGCATTGAAAATTCCTTTCTGTTGCAGTATAGACTGTTACTACAATCTGCAATGACAGCAGCTGCTAAATCCATCTGTATCCTGTTAGTGCACATCTTTCTGTTTCGTGAACAAATTTAATAGAAAAGAAATTGCATTGATGAATTTGCTAATTTGATAACGCTGTGGCTAATGACACTCCAGGAGTGGATATAAGGAACAAACAATTTTTAGGCCACACCAATTTAATTTGTTGGTTCACTGAATTTTTCAGAAAAAAATATGAAGCAACATGCATGGCGAAAAAAAAAAAATAAAAATAGGTCTAGACATCCTAATCTAGCCCCAAATGCTAGGATAGGAGTCATGAAGTCAACACAAAAGGCTGGGTTAATATTCAAACAATGAATTGTGAACTTTTAATC